CTCTAATTGAACCCATTGAAGTGTATACTTAAATGATCAGAACGTCGTCCGTCTTTTTTTATGCAATCTAGTCTCTCAGTTTTCGAGATATCCGGATAAAATTTTGTAGGTGGGTGTCTTTTTATAATGCACTAATCATTTGTCGGAACTGCAATAATCGGGCCACTATAACATATAGCTCCCATACAACTGATTGTTCAGATATGAGATTTTTCGCTATAACTCCTCCATTTAAGCAGTTAGGAACATGAAACATTTATATTGCATTTCCCACATAAACTAAGTGCAACGAACACACAAACGCACTTGTGTTTAAAAGTAATTCGCTCGTTCTTAATTGGGAATGCATTTTTTATGCAATTCCCAAGTATCTCTTAGCTGAACTTAGTGAAGTGATAAGTCGCTGGCATTTTCAGCTATGGTCAACGGTAATCCAGCTTGGCTATCACACGGTGCTTTAAACATCATCCACACTCCACTACCGGAGTAATTTTTGGCATGGTATTAAGCTACTGCTTACAAACCACACTGGGCCTCTGCACGAATACATCCCTGGATAAATCCCAGCTCATTGCACAGCAGCCTACGGCAGCTAGAGCATGACTTCTCCAATGGAGTCCCCCAATAAATACACGCTGAAAGGGTCACATCTTGCGCTACCGCTTCATCAGCCTGTCCGCATATCTCTCTCTCTCTCTCTTTCTCTCTCGCATATCAGGCATATGAAGTGCGTGGCTGACTTGATGTGCACCTATAAACCATATGGGCTCATTCAGCTCGATACATAAACACTCGCAAAGGTAATCCCTACCTCCTCAACTACTCTAAATCAACCGCAACTCTAAACCTGGTCACCCGCTCTCACTCAGCTAAACAGTTAGTTCCTCACTTTGAATGCTGGATTGAATATAATTAGTGGTATTCACCAAAGTGAGCAAGTGGCCCGGTAAAAGAGCAGACCAGCTCAACGACGACTGTTTTCAATACCGCTCTTATTTGGTTGATAGACATCCTTATTCTTCGCAGCAAGAATAGCTCGTTCAATGAGCCTATAATTAATTTTCTTAATTAAGAAATATTTTTTCGATCAGTTCTCCTTTCGATGTTCCTAAGTTACAAAAATTATCAGGCAATAAAATTCGTCTTAATCTCTCGTTGGCTGGATGCTTTCCGTTCCCAATGTCCAGTAATTGTCGCGAAAATACTTCGGCTGCAGTGTATGTATGGCATGTTCGTCTTGTCGCAATGTTGACTATTTCAGGCAAGCATTTATCTAATGTTAATCAAGAAATTACAGACAATGTTTGCGTAAAATCTCCTGAGAGCAATATCAATACATTCCCGAATGGTTGAACGTTTCCATGCAAATCCCACGACAATCGACCAAGAACCTCAAGCAAGGTTTTATGTACCATCGTGTTAGTTTAAATTTTTGTACTACTTTTTGCATACCGGATATTCCGGAAATATTGCAAGTAGGAGTTTCGATGATTTATATGTTCAATGGCTGCTTAAGAGCTGAATTAGCAATGTTTCTACCTGGTAGCAATTCCAGGCGAAGCTATAGCTAAGGTTATGTAATTGTTTGCACGAACTATTGCCATAATCAATCTGATAAGGAATGTTTTCCTAGTTCCTTCAGGCGCATCAAGAAGAAGGTCCTCCAACTCCGTCAATTATCATTTGCATCTTCTTCCTCTTATTTGGCGTTGTAAACGCCTAAGCCATTTTGGTCGAGATGGACAAAGAACGCCAGTCGTTTCTCTCTGTGCCAACTGACGACAATGGGAAATTCCAGGTGAAGCCAAGTCCTTCTGCATTTGGTCTCTCCTTCTTCCTCTTTTACCACCAGCGGACTGCGAGTTTAATACTTTCAGAACTGGAACGCCGCTTCCCATTCACACTAGGGCTATTCGCGATTCGGTGCATAAGAGCTGACAAATTTATGCAATTGCAGAAATATGCCATGGATTGTGAGCGACCTTTATTAAACTGTCATGGTAAAGCTTTTGCAAAACACTTTTTGTGCATCAGCTTTGGTTTTGTTTAT